ATATATGGTTGACAATCATCATGCGAGTTAATTTTAACAAATGATAGTCTAAAAATTTTGTATGAATACAATACAACTTGTATTGCACAACTCAAATGAGACTATTTTAAAGGTGATAGGACGAAATATATTTCTCCAAATTTCTTTCATTCACACGAGCTTCAAAAGAATGGCGACATCGATGTCTAATAAATTTGTTCAAGCGACAATGTGACCAATTTATTCACAAAATCATTGCTTCATGAGATTGGAATGTGTTGACTTAAAGATTTTCAGTTATTAACATTAGGACGAATATTTGTACTTTTTTTTTCTTCACTTAGGTTTTATTCCACGGGATTTTCCTAACAAAATTTTAATGCGGTTGCATATATTTTTAACACTCCAAAATAACTTAATTCTTTTTTCTTTGTTTGATTTTTTGCCCTATTGAATTTTTATCAAATAAAGTTTTAACGAGGTATATATTTTGTAGTGTGTCATTTAAAGGGAAGTTTTATAAATGGTAAATTTATTAGTAAATGATAATTGTACTTCTAGAGCCCTAGAAATTATTATCATTTATCACTGATTCTTTCATATAAATATAAACCTTTGATTCCTAATAAAAAACACAAGAAGTCTATTGATTTTTACTCTCTATTATCTTTCTCTCTTTTCGTAACAAATTAAGCCCCTGTTTGACCCCCATTATTTAAAAATGAAAATGGGGGAATAGTATTTTTTATAAAAATGAGTGATTGACAAAGAAGGAAATTTTTTTGATTTACATGTAATATTATTTTATGAAGATTGTGTGACTGAAAATAGGAGAAAGAAAAATGAAATATAATCTAATTGAATTTAATGGGGATCAAACGGAGGTTAAATATATTTAAAAAGTGGATTGACTGCTATAATTTACGACATTTGCTTTCAACTTGATTTGAAAGACTGCGAAATTTTCTGTTATGGATTCATTAATGGACCCAAAGGCCCAATGGGCCTAGAGGCTTATTATTCGGTAATTGGTGCATGGGAAAATTACCCCAAACTGTAGTTTTTAAAATTTGAATATCAAAAATCAGATCATAAAGATTTTTTCACAAAAATCAGGTATTATTTAATAACACTCATTTCTCTCTCTCTACCCTAAAATCTGCACATAAAGAGGAAAAGCTTAGCGAAGGCAAAGCCAACCACCGCTCCAGAGAATACCTTTCGTCCTTCGGACCCCATCCCCGCCATATCCTCAATAATTCACGCCAACACTAATTTTAACATCATTTTTATGATTGGAATTTTCACAATCATTTCAGGTTCTTGAGATCCTGTGAGCCATATTGGGGTGCTTTTACAATATTTAATTAGAGGTAGTTGCAATGAAATTGGAGCTTTTGGTTTATATTCAGGGCCTAATAGTGCCGTTCTTCTTTTGATGCATCCACGTAAATGGGCTGCAGTTCTAAAAACAAATGGGCCTCTGGTTGCAAGAGTCAACAGGATTATCAAATAAGTATGTCATTAAAGTATTTATTTTTTGAGATAGTAGAACAAAAAATTGATTCATTGCAGTCTATGCCCCTATTTGATTCTCTTTAGTTTAATTTAGGGTCTGTTTGATTGCAAAAATAAAATTAAATTATCTAGAAAATGAATTTTAAGGAATTGAATTGTCTAAAAATTGTTTTCCTAGGAATTGTAATTATTGTGTTTGATTGATATAATTTTTCATGTTAAAAATGTTGAAATAAAAATGTTTTTAGTGTTTGTTTGATTTTGTTTTACATGAAAATTATCAATTAAAGGGATAGAATTTACTGGTATTAGAGATGAAATTTGTTCTTATGCCCAAAAAAATTCAAAAAAATTAAAAATTAAAAATCATCTATCTTTTGGTGTTCGTTTGGTTTTGTTTTATATGGAAATTATCAATTAAATGTAATTTTTTTTTTACAATAATTCTTAGAATTTGTTTCCATGGCAAGAAAAAAAATCGAAAAAATGTTACAGTAATTAGGAATTCCAATTCTCACCATTTTGGTGAGAATTGCAATTTCTTAAATTCATAGAAATTGGCTTATGTGGCACCAAAGATAGAAATTCAATTCTAGGCAAAACAAGGTTAAATTGAAGGGTGGAATTCCAATTCCAATTTCCATGGAATTCCACCTCCAATCAAACACTACATTAATTTATTTTTTATACGCATTTTTAACCACACACTTGCACAATAAAATATTCTACAAATAAACCGAAAAAATTTCTTTATTTTTTAATTACACATTCTCCAAAAATAAGAGCAGATTGTGTGTGTGTGTGTGTATATATATATATATATATTCCTAAATTCTTTTTTGAATAAATATCGATAAGATTTCAGTTAAAACGTATTGTCTATTATATTATCAATCAACATATTTATCCCTTTAAATTATTGCAAAGTTGTGAATTTAATAAATTTGAGTTTAACTAAATTATCTAACTATTAAATTCCCAACAAGCATTGACTCTTCCTGATAAGGAGGTGATCCAATTGCACCTTCTAGTACAATTACCTTGTTACGACTGATTAATCAGTAGACAACACAGAGTTCTTATAAATTACTAGATTATGAGAAATTTGCCGGGTAGTCCCCTACTTATTTACTTTGTAACAACTTCATCTTCATCTTACATATCTCAACGTTTGGTGTGGGCACAGTTTTGAACTTTCTTAATCACGTGAGTATTAACTCATGTTTGGTGTAGATTAAAATTGTGTTAAAATTTAAAGTTAAAGTCAATAATTTATTTTAATCGCACATTTTGTAGAATCGACAATTTTTTTAACGACGGATTAAATCTAATTTTATCAAAATTTACTAAAATGTGATTTTAATCTACACTAAACCAGAACTTAAATTGTAGTGACAATTGAAGACTTATGTTTTTCCAGCCTATAATAATTACTCAAATCTATTCATGTCACTGGTTGTCTTTTCACATTAACTACGCTTTTAAGTTCCGATTTAGATTCGAGTGTATAGAGAATTGGGATTCATGCATTGTTGAAAGATTTTAAGAGAATAGTAACTTGTCGGTGTAAGCATTATAGTAAATAAATAAAAAAAGATGGAAGCAAAAAAGAAAATGCACGTTTTTATAATCTCGTTGTTTAGGGAATTATATTATAGTAAAAAAACAGCTCATACAAAGCGTAAAAAAATTTTATTTGTTTATTAAATTTAATAAAATAATCATTGTCCAACTACCAATTTTCTTATGAATAGTAAACAAATCCATCATTGGGAAGAAAGTAATCTAAACCCAAAAACTTCCTAGAAACAAGCAAATTAAACAAGAATAAAGCTATCTAGTCAGGATTAAATATAGGAAAGCAAGAAGCAGACTGATTTGGCAGCAAATGATTGGTGTTTTTTGTTTTAATTTTTCAAACTGTTCAATCACATGTCGACACGCGTTCCACTAGTTTTTTAACCTGCATGTAGAGTATTATTGTATAATCAAAGGACAACATCATTATTAAGCACCATTAATTTTCTGTCTTTCTGTAAAAGTAATAAAAGTGTCTTGATTAGTTATCAAAAAAATTATTATCAGCAACTAAGCATCCGTTTGGCAAAAATTATAAGTTATTTATAAATATTCAAATTATAAGTTATTTTCATCACTCGATTTTATTTCTTTATGAATTCTTTTAAAACTGAGACTAAACAATGTACCATCCAATTGATGCAGCTCTGAATACCATTGATCTTATTACATTTAAAAGTGTTAAGAAACGAATTTCACGTTGATTAAAAATAAAAATATAGATCAATATGAGAGTTTGAACTATATTTCTTAAATAAATTAACATTTTAAATGAAACTACAAATTTTAGCATGACTTTAAACTACTATAATTTATGACATTTGCTTTCAACTTGATTTGAAAGACTGCCAAATTTTCTGTTATGGATTCATTAATGGACCCAAAGGCCCAATGGGCCTAGAGGCTTATTATTCGGTAATTGGTGCATGGGAAAATTACCCCAAACCGTAGTTTTTAAAATTTGAATATCAAAAATCAGATCATAAAGATTTTTTTCACAAAAATCAGGTATTATTTATTAACATTCATTTCTCTCTCTCTCTACCCTAAAATCTGTACATAAAGAGGAAAAGCTTAGCGAAGGCAAAGCGAACCACCGCTCCAGAGAATACCTTTCATCCTTCGGACCCCATCCCCGCTATGAAAATTGATGTGAAAGAAAGTGTACGAGTAAAATGGTCCTCCTCAATTCACGTCAACACTAATTTTAACGTCATTTTTATGATTGGAATTTTCACAATCATTTCAGGTCCTTGAGATCCTGCGAGCCATATTGGGGTGCTTTTACAATATTTAATTAGATATAGTTGCAATGAAATTGGAGCTTTTGGTTTATATTCAGGGCCTAATAGTGCCGTTCTTCTTTTGATGCATCCACGTAAATGGGCTGCAGTTCTAAAAACAAATGGGCCTCGGGTTGCAAGAGTCAACAGGATTATCAAATAAATATGTCATTAAAGTTTTTATTTTTTGAGATAGTAGAACAAAAAAGGGAAAATTTCATAAGTGAGAAATTAAGTATAGTATATTTCAAAATTAAGAAAACAAGTTTCAAACTTCAAAAATCAGAATTTTATTAAAATTTATTTATGATTTAATTATTTATTTAATTTAATATATTTAGATCACATATCTATACAATTTAGTCACGAATTAACAAAAATTTTATATCACAAATTATTTTACGGTCACAATTCAAAAAATTTAAATGTCACAGTTAGTTCATCGGTCACAAATCAAAAAATTAATTAGTCACAAATTAATTTTTTAATCACGACTTATCAAATTATTGGTCACAACTTATTTCTCGATCACAAATCAAAAAATTTATAGGTCATATTATTTTATGGTCACAATTCAAAATTTTTATAGGTCACAGGTTATTCATCAGTCACAAATCAAAAAATTTATAAGTCAGATTGTTCTATGTTTAATTCTAAACTGTTTCCTACTTATGAAAATTCTACTTTTCAAGCCTTTGATGAAAAAGTAAATCTGGTGCCAGTGTGGTATGCTAGTGAGGAGGCATAAGGAAGTCAAATATTAATAGTTTAAGCTTTTAGATAAGGTGTAGGTTGTTCAATAATTCTGATAATTTATATTTGCAAATTGAGTTGGCAATGGAAAAGTGCTGATAATCTGCCTGGAAGGTATGTATTTTGATTTCTCAATCTTATTTTCAAGAATGTTGGATGATGCATATAGGTGTGACTTCTAGAAATGTCAGTGGAGATGGGATAGAGTTAAGTAATTCAAGTAGCATCGGTTCATCTGCTTCAATAACCCATGCTCCTCGGACTGAGGGTGAGATCTTGCTGTCCTCCAACTTGAAAAGCTTCTCATACGGTGATCTCAAAGCAGCCACAAGGAACTTCCGTCCCGACAGCATCTTAGGGGAAGGGGGTTTTGGATCTGTTTTCAAAGGATGGATTGACAAGCATTCACTTGCAGCATCAAAGCCAGGCGTTGGGATGATGATAGCTGTTAAGAGGCTGAGACAGGATGGGGGCCAGGGTCACAAGGAATGGTTGGTATGTGCTTTCTCCTTTTTTAACTTTAGTGATTTCTCACGTTAGTTGCTCTTTTGTTTTGTACTGCATGTTGGTTTGCAGTACAGGACAAGCCTGGACAATACAATGGATGAGATTTTGGCTTATTTTTCTTCTTAATACTATGTTTAATAACTACCAAACAAGCCATTACAATATTCATTCAAGCTTGCAAAATGTGTCATTGCATATGCAGCCTGAATGTGCTTTAAAATTTGGTTATTTATCGCTTAGTTTTTCTTGATGTCCACTTTTGTAAATCATTGCAGTTAACAAATCCGGTTAATGTGGACAACGTATCTGGAATGTTAACCAAGGAACTTTATAAGTTCCGAGATATTATATAACTGGGGAAACCTTCATATCGATGTGAAGGCAAAAGTGAAATATAACATTGGAGCAGCTTGTTTTGTTACGTGCTTAAATTTCCATTTTTCATTGACAAGCTTCATTGTTTGATTTTCAGGCTGAAATCAATTATCTTGGTCAATTGCGTCATCCTAATCTTGTAAAACTGATTGGTTACTGCTTAGAGGATGACCACAGACTTTTGGTCTATGAGTTTATGCCCAAGGGTAGCATGGAGAATCATCTATTCAGGAGTGAGTTCAGTGGCTTTATTTGATTTTTCTCTGAATTTATTGCCTCCCAGAATTTAGTTCACTCAATGTTTTTGTTTTGGACCAGGAGGTTCGTTCTTCCAGCCACTATCTTGGAGCCTGCGAATGAATATTGCTCTTGGTGCTGCACGGGGACTTGCCTTTCTTCACAGTGCCGAGACGCAAGTAATATATCGGGACTTCAAAACTTCGAATATCCTGCTTGATTCTGTAAGTATTTTTAGAGGCTAACTTGGTATTGGCTCTATGGTGTCTATGGATTCCTTATACGCATAATCCTAAGACTTCCTATCAATTTTATGCTTTGAATTCACAGAACTACAATGCCAAACTTTCTGATTTTGGGTTAGCCAGGGATGGGCCAACTGGTGATAAGAGTCACGTTTCTACTAGAGTTATGGGGACTTATGGATATGCTGCTCCCGAGTATCTATCCACAGGTATATTTGACATGTTCAATTCCTCGTAAATTCATTGAAAAATATGATTATATTTTGCTTCATTATTTTGATCAATCCCTCGTGTTCTCCTGCTAAGTGTTATCCATATTTGTTATAGAGCACATATCTGTTATTATTAATAACTTTGAGTGAAATTAAAAAAAAAACGAACACACTATCCTTGTTGAAATGTTCGTGCAACACAACCCATTGTTGTTTGGAGTCAAATCTTGAACTTCCATCTTTTTTATATAAGCATTCTAAAGTGTAGAAGTAAAGGGTTATGTAAATGACATGCATCATTGAATGAAATTCATTGAAGTATGCTCTATGCACACTGAACAGGGTTACTCATAAAAAGAGGGAAACCGTAAAGTTGAGCACTCAAAAATTTCTGCATCTGATAGTCTGAAACTCATTTGGTAGGTGGTTTTAGTTGCCGGGTCAAATATCTTTTGAATCATTCAGACCGTCAGCCGTTTAGTTTCTCATCGACTACCCTTGGAGTTGCACGTGGTCATAGCGTATGGACTTTTTCTCTAATAGAAAGGGGAGCAAAATCCTTCTGAGATATGTAACTTTAGTGCTGAAACCAATAGTCAATAGATTATGTCATATGAATTATGATGCACGTGTTTCACGTGAGGCATGCAATCTTCGGACAAGAAGCATCAAATATTATTCCTGTACTGTCCCCCTACTCGTCCCTTTTCTTCATTTCTAATCACCTTGCTTGACTAATTTAAATTAATGAAAGCACTGTTTTATCATTTTGATTTGCAATGAAAGTTCAGTTGAATGATGGACAATATCTGATAAATTTCTTTCTTGCTTGAAGGTCATTTAACTTCCAAGAACGACGTATACAGCTTTGGCGTGGTTCTGCTAGAATTCTTATCTGGTAGGAAAGCAATAGACAAAAATCAGCCAGCGGGGGAACATAATCTTGTTGACTGGGCAAAACCTTACCTCACAAACAAACGAAGAATTCTTCATGTTATGGATGCCCGTCTTCAAGGCCAATATTCATTGGGTCGAGCCCTAAAGGCAGCTCATCTTGCGCTCCAGTGCCTATCCACGGATCCTAGGTCAAGGCCGAACATGGATGAGGTGGTAACTGCTTTGGAGCAGCTTCAGGAAACTTCGAAAACTGATCAAGCGGCTCACCAATCAAACCGGAAAACTCACCATAAAAATCAACCTAGTTCCCGCAAAAGCAGAGCTGGAGAAATGCAATGAGTAACGACTTACCCCAGACCGTCAGCTTCCCCTCTTGACACATAGAAAGAGGTATGACGGTGACTTCTTTGGTTTGATGGTCTACTTATTTTTTCGTTATGACCGTGTGCATGTAGCTGTGTACCATATATAACTGTATTTGAAGAGAATGTACAGTTGTTTGGCAAGGTAATTTGTAAACTACCCTCGATCTTAGTTGTCAGTTGTGACAATATTGAGTAATGAGCAGGTTTCCAGCTTATGATCTTCATGCCCTCTGGAAAATGTTCTATGGTTTTTGAGCTTAAGCTCCATTTTGTCTGAGTTTGGAAATTGTATTTTGTTTGGGAAAAAAAATGAAAAAAATTGTAAGTATGAAGTTAGTATTTGTATTTTTGTACTCGTCGAGGTTTCAAAACTTTGTTAAGACAATTAAGATTGACAGAGATGAATCATAATTTTCTTGCATCGCATGATTAAAGCTCTTTCTCTATTTATACGAAATGGATTTTGTTGTGTTGGAAAAATAATTAGTTGCAGTAATGTTTAGAACAATAAAATGCAGAAAGATAAAACTTATCGTCCGATTGAGTTTCATAACAGCACGATGTCCTAAAGTGAAATTACCCGTCGATAATTGCTGCGACTTCCGTGGACAATTACTCCCAAGACACAATGATCGTAAATCACTTGTGCAACAATCACGAATGATTTTTCTAGAACTCTCAATTGTACTTCAGAATATATGTAAAAATACGAGTATAAGAAATTCAGAATATGAAAAGGAATGATTGATGCAAGATGATTTTTCTATTTTCTTTTGTGTGTTTTTCCTAAAACGAGATATGAATTTATATAGACAAGATGGAAGTAGTAATAGTCTCCATCATGATCAGAGAGTAATGTAGAATTTTAATGACTGAGTAGTGGGTAACTGGGTATTTTAATGATTGTGAATGGGTTGTTACAAAAACAAACGGTCAGAAAATACTGATTAGTTTTACCCATTAAATAATAAAAAAATTTATTTTAGTTAGAGAAGTCCAAGAGCCCCAAGACAACAATCAAGACATTTTAATATTTGCATGAGGAGTGACTCGAACCTCTGACGTCCCACACAAATGTCACATTT